CTTCACCTCTGGCAGACACTGGTGGGGTGTTTTTAGCCCATTTAACCCCTTCCTTCCCCCCAGCCGCCCCCGACCTGGTGCTGAACGCGGAGCTGGTGGAGCAGACGGCCTACCTGGAGGACAGGCCCATGTTCATGCTGCAGTGTGCCCTGGAGGAGAACTGCCTGGCCAGCTCTGCTGCCAACACCTCCATCACCTCGGGGTACCGGCGCCTGCTGCGCTTCTCCTCCCAGATCCACAACAACGGCCAGTCCGACTTCCGCCCCAAGAACGGCCGCCACGCCTGGGTCTGGCACGACTGCCACCGGTGGGTGCCTCAGCTGGGCTCTCCCCCCACCCCTTCTTGCTGCCTGGGGGGCTGTCCTGCTGTGGGAGCACGGGGAGGAGCTGCTGGGGCTGTGGGTGCAGGGCTGTGGTGTGTGCCGGGGTCACTGTCGCCCCCCGAGAGCAGGGAAAGCACCTTGTTGAGAACGGGATAGAAACAAGGCAAGTGTGGAGCTTTCCTTGGCAGAGGGGTCTGGCCAAGGGCACTGTAGCCATGCCACATCCCTGGAAGTGTCCAAGGCCAGGTTGGAGCAACCTGGTCCAGTGGAAGGTGTCCCTGCCCATGGCAGGGGGTGGAACTGGATGAGCTTTAAGGTCCCTTCCAACCCAAACCAGTCTGGGATTCTGTGATCTCTGAATTCCCCTCAACACCAAGAGATGCTGCCCCTGGGTCAGCAGATCCGGATACTCCTCAAATTGGGTGAGTTTTGAGGTCCTTTCCAACCCATGATCCTGTGATACCTTCGTATGTACAGACAGGACCCATCTTTCCACACACCCACCACGTGTAGAAAGGTGCAGCCACCTGAGCTGCTTCCCTCCCCTGGAAAAGAACCCCAAAAATCCTGTCAATTCTGCATTTTTAAATGCTTCCCCACTCCACTAAAACAGCTGGGAGATGGTTTTGTGCTTATTTTTTGACCAACAGAAAATTCACCCCCATAAATGCATCACTTTTGAGGGGGAAAGACACTTTCAGCTGAACCAAGGGGGGAAAAGGAGCTGGAAGCCATCCAGGTGCTTTTTCTTGTGGAATGATGGCTGGCACAAGGTTGATTTTTCTCTCCTTTGGGGTAAAAGGCAGAGAAGTGACTCAGTGCACAGCTCCTGTCCTGCCCCTGGCGCAGGAATATTCTCAAATCTAAGAGTTCTTTGTAGTCTTTATAAAGAGCTGAGCGAGGTGAGACGGGGCTGAGGGGGCACTTGGAAGTGAGGTGAGACAGGGAAAGGCTGAGGGAAAGGCCACGAGCCGTCTGTGCCTCAAAAGTGGATTCTGTTCAGGTGGAGGAGGATGAACTCAGTTCCTCTTCAGTCTTTCCAGTCTGTAAACAGCAGAATGCAAACACCCCTCGGAGTGGTTCAGACATAGTTCAGCATCTGAGTCAGCCCTGAGAGCCTCCAGCTCCGAGCAGAGGCAGCCAAATGTGCCCCAGATGCACAGCCCTGTGCCTCTGCCTTCCCTCCAGCACTGCGAGCTCCTGTTCGGCTGCCTTTGGATGTGGAAGCAGGACAAAAACGGGAAAGACCTGGAGCAGGGAGTGAAAAGTGATTCACTTCTGGCTGATGGGAATTTATGTGTTTGTTTTTGTTTTTTTTCTAAGTCAGGGGAAAGGCAGGAGGAGGTAAAAAGGAAAACTTTCCTCCCCTTCCTTCCTTGCTCCTCCTTCATCTGTCAATCCACGTGTAATTATGGCAATAGGAAGTTTTTAAGGCTTGATTATTTTTACAGCTGGAAAGGAGAGGATTTATGCAGTTTTTTCCTCTTTTTTTTTTTTTCCTTTTTTTTTTTAATTATTTAATTCTTAAGCAATTGGTTCTGATTTAGGGGCTGTCTGTGCCTTTGCCTCACTCAGAGCTGAGCTGTGCAATTCCCAGAGCTGGGACAGACATTCCCATAGCTGGGACAGACATTCCCATAGCTGGGATAGACACTCCCATAGCTGGGATAGACACTCCCATAGCTGGGACAGACACTCCCATAGCTGGGATGGACATTCCCATAGCTGGGATGGACATTCCCATAGCTGGGACAGACACTCCTATAGCTGGGATAGACATTCCCAGAGCTGGGATGGACATTCCCATAGCTGGGACAGACATTCCCATAGCTGGGACAGACATTCCCATAGCTGGGATAGACATTCCCATAGCTGGGACAGACATTCCCATAGCTGGGACAGACATTCCCATAGCTGGGATAGACATTCCCAGAGCTGGGATGGGTGATGGTGCCACACAGGATCATCCCCAGGGGAACATTCCCTGGCTGTGGTTTCTCCCACTCCACTTCCTGTAGCCCTTTCGACCTGGTAATTAAAGGGCTGTTTTGCCTTTAATTCCCTTTTTATTTCATTTCTAAGGATAATTGTCCCTGTCTGTGACCCTCAGGCACTACCACAGCATGGAGGTTTTCACCCACTACGACCTCCTGAACCTCAATGGCACCAAGGTGGCCGAGGGACACAAAGCCAGTTTCTGCCTGGAGGACACGGAATGTGAAGCAGGTGTGTGCCAGAGCCCTGGGAGCTGGGAATTTATCCCTGTCCCTGGGGCTTCCAAGGGCTAAATGTGGCCTGGCAGGAGCCAGAAACCAGCCCTGAGGTGATGGGTGGATGGATGGATGGATGGTTGGTCTCAATTCCCTCCGTCCCTACCCGGAGCTGCCCCAAAACCCAAACTGTGCTTTTTCTGACCCCTGTCAAGCGAGGAATTCCAAAATGTGCCTCCAGGTGATGAGGTTGGAAGGTGGCAGCTCCCTCTGTGCAGCGAAGACACCGCTGTGTTAAATCTCATCCCAAACACTGCCCCCGTATCCCATCCCCAGGAGAGTTGGGAACAACCAGGAATTCCTCAGGGGGGGAACACCCAGCCCGCCTTGCCAGGGGTGTAACACTTTGTTCCTTGGACTTTTTCTGGCTCAGATGTGCAGAAGCAGTACGAGTGTGCCAATTTTGGGGAGCAGGGGATCACCGTGGGCTGCTGGGACGTGTATCGGCACGACATCGACTGCCAGTGGATCGACATCACCGACGTCCCACCCGGGGATTACCTTTTCCAGGTGAGGAGAAGAGGGTTGGAGGCACTCCTGGGGCTTTTATCTTACCCACCCCGACAAGAGTTTACCTAAAGCTGTTTATTTGTACACCTGCTACTCCTGATCATAAAGAGATTGTATTCCCGGGATGCCCAAAAGGGAGAGGATTCCCTACAACACACACCTCCAAGTGACAAATCAGGGCCAGCAACCACGTCTCATAGCCTTCAAAAGTCCATGTCCCAACCAGCCCAGGAGCAGCTGATGCTGTTGGCACGTTCCAGATGCACAGCATTCCACTGGTGTCCTGGTTTGGAGCTGTTTGTGAGCAACACTCCCTGAATTTGGGGATCAAACCGTGTTATTTGTGGGGTGTTTGCAGGAGCTCAGGTTGTGCCTCCAGTCTGGGCACTCTGGGGAGGGGAGGGGGGGGAATTCTTTGGCTCTAAAAACAGCCCCTTGCTCTGGAGGGGAGGGAAGGGAGAGGAATTATTTTTGTCTGTGCTGTGTGAAACGGAAAAAAGGGTTTGGAGGGGAGATTTTGGGGGTCTTAGTTGGTCAGAGGGATGGAGCAGCTCTGCCAGGAGGGAAGGTTGGGAGAACTGGGATTGTTCAGCCTGGAGTGACTCAATTGTGGCCTTCCAGGACCAGGAGGAGCCAACAAGAAACATGGAGAGAGACTATTTCCAAGGGATGGAGTGACAGGACAAGTGGAAATGGCTTCCCACTGCCAGAGGGTTAGATGGGATATTGGGAAGGAATTCCTCCCTGGGAGGGTGGGGAGGGGCTGGGATGGAATTCCCAGAGAAGCCGTGGCTGCCCCATCCCTGGAAGTGTCCAAGGCCAGACTGGAGCAACCTGGGCTAGAGGAAAGTGTCCCTGCCCATGGCAGGGGGTGGCACTGGATGAGTTTTAACGTCCCTTCCAGTCCAAACCATCCTGGACTCCGTGCCTGACCTGCTTCAACCGAGCAGTTCCCGTTTCCCCGCAAAGCGAATGATTTTTTTTTTCCCATTGTAAAAACCTCGATTTGTTACAAACCAGCTGACTCTGCATCCCCCCCCCCAGCCCTCCTTCTTTAAATAACCTCCCCCTGTGCTTCTCCCCTCCCTCCCCAGGTCGTCATCAACCCCAACTACGAAGTGGCCGAGTCGGATTATTCCAACAACGTGATGAAGTGCCGGAGCCGCTACGACGGGCAGCGCATCTGGATGTACAGCTGCCACATAGGTGAGAGCCCTGCTGGCCTTGGGCCGGGCTTAAACCCCTCAGCTCGGGCCTAACAGGGATAAAGATGCTCCAGCTGGACGAGGAAATGAGTGGTTTTGCCTCTGTAGAGGTAAACACCTTCTCCCCAGACTCAAATTCCTTTACCGGCCTGGCACTGAACCTCTTCAGACCCCAAAGCTTCTCCCCTCTTGAAAAAAAGAAATAAGAATAGGTGGAGCTCAGTCCAGGCATTAAAATGCTCTGCTGTCACTGGAATATCAAGGGAAACTCTGTGTTTTCTCGGAGTAATATAAAACATTATCCTTCGGAATTTTTATCTCAGAAATATCAGAGGCAAACCGGTTTAAACGTGTCACTTACCAAGACCATTTTAAAATGGAAATAGTCCATTATCAGGACCATCTTAAAATGGAAATAGTCCATTATCAGGACCATTTTAAAATGGAAATAAGTTTGGGGCTTTCTAAGCTAAGAGTGTTTTTGACACCGGCTGTTCCAGTTATGGTAAAATTCAATTAAAATTCAAATTAATTAGCGCAGGAGAATCTCTGAGCCCCTCCCTTCCCCAGCAGGTTCCACTGTTCTCTGCCTGCTCTTTGTGCCCTGAGCTGCCTCTGCCCCTCCCTGCTCACCCTGTGCCCCCTCTGTGCCCCCTCTGTGCCCCCCCAGGTGGTTCCTTCAGCGAGGAAACGGAGCAGAAATTCGACCACTTCAGCGGACTCACAAATAACAGAGTGGCCACCCGGTAATGGGACCCCCCCTCCCCACTATTTAAAGAAGGCAGGACTCCTGCCTTGCTCCTTCCCAAACCACTGCACCACCAGGAAATCAAGGAAACGCTCCAGCTCCGAATCTCCAGGTGAATTCTCTCCTGCAGACGCCTTCGCTCCCCACCCCTCCTGCGGCCCCGGAGCCCCAAACCCTCCTTGGCTCCGTGTCCTCCCCGCTCCAACCTCCTCCAGAGGCTCCTCCCTCCACTCTGTGTCCCCTCACAGCCGCCTTGCCTTCGTTTGGGCACCAACAACCCCAAAAAGTGGCTTCCCCCTTCGCTCTCAAGGCCTTCATTTGGCATCTTCGAGCTCTTTTCCACGCCCCGAACGTTTGTGCTGCTGCTTCTTGCACAGCTCCTCCTCCTCCTCCTCAGGCAAAGAAATACAAAGAAAGGAAAGTGAAAAAAAAAAACAAAAAACAACCACACACACACACAAAAAAAAAAGGAAAAAAAAAAAAAAGGAGCAGCTTTTTTTTTTTCCGAGCAGAACAGTGTAAAGCATAATTTAATTCCGCGGCGAAACTCTCGGGTCCAACAGTCCAACCCAGCGACCTCTGGAAGAGGAGCAGAACAGATTCCAAGATCCCAACAGAGCACTGGAGCTCCCTGGAGCTCCTCCAGCCGCCTTGGACACCCAGAACTTTGCAGATTCCCGGCTGGAAACTGGGAATTCCCATCCCAACATCCATACCCCCCCAGCTCTCGCCTCCCAGGCTGGACATTCCCTGTCTTCTCTTCCAAGGATGAATTAGTTTTTTTTAAGGCATTGTCTCCTGGCTTTTCCTTACAGAGGGAATTCCTGGCTCTCAGCCCCAGGGATCTGCACCGGACCCACTGGAAATTCTTGGTGCTACCCCCGTGCTCCTCTGTTTGTTTGAGGACACACCTCGCTCCACATCCCCAGGCACAGCTACTTGAATAAAAACCTTCTGACCCAGAAAAAAAAAACAACATAAAACCAAAAAAAAAATGGTTTAAATGCCACTTGTGGATCTCTGCTCCGTGAAAGCTCACAGTTCCTGGTACTTTAGTGTTGGTTGTATTGGGGTTTTTTTCCCTCTGTATGGAAGACTTCTACAAGCAGCTGAATTTTAGAGCTGACCAGGGGATTAATCCACGGGGGATTAGAACTGGCTGCCAACTTGTGCTCCCCAAAACCTACCTCACAGGGGTGTTGTGAGGCTCAGAGGCTGCAGAATTATCCTGCTGAGGTCATTTATCACCTGGCAAAGGTTTTTTTTTTAGCCTCCTCTTAAGTTGGAAAACTCCATCTTTTCCCCCAAGATCTGGAGCACGAGCAGAGCCAAAGGGTTTTCCAGCACCTTAAAACCAGGCTCTGGGCCAACCAGAACAGGCAAGTTCTGCTTTTTTCTTTTCCTAAGGAGCACGTGGCAACTTTTCCTTGCTTAACAGGGCAACTCCAGGCTGTGTAAATATGGAAAAAAACCCCCTGACCTCACCTGCATCCACTGCCTGGCAGTTTTATGGGATATCTCAACAATAACATCACAACAAGGTATAAACGTGGAACAAGCTTTTTGAACTCCTGTTCTTACGCCCAGCTGGAATTTCGGCCAAGAAAACACAATTCCCTTAATGAATTAACTCTTAATGAATTTTTTTTTTGTTTGTTTGTTTGTTTTTCTCCAAACCCAGAGGAGGCTTTTCTGGAAAGCCCCAGCTGAGCAATCGGGGGCTCTGGAAACAAAAAGTGCTCCCCAAATCCCAGGAACACTAAACTTCCCCCTTCCTTCCCGACTCCAGGAGGATGGTGCTGATCCCAAGGAGAACCCCCCTCCCCTGGCACCTCCCTGCTCCACATGCAGTTGGGACAGCACAGCCATGCTCATCTTTACAGCAGTTTTTTTTTGGGGAGGGGGGTGGATGGAGAGGACAGGGAGGGGGGAGCCGAGGTGCTTTTTTTTTATTATTATTCCTGCTGGTCCGAGGTTTCCAGCTGGAAAACTTCAGCTCCTGAGCCTTCCTGCTGCCTGTGCCTCCAGCCCAGGGCGTGGGACACAAGTCTCCTGGCCACGGCCGTGTCTGTCTGGGGCCGTTCCTTCCCCAGGTGAAGGAGTTCTGGGAAAAAACAGGGGGAAAAACACTCAGCTGGGTGCTTGGATGCAGCAAATCCACCTCTTCCCTACCCCTCTGGAATGACACAACTCCACACATCCCAGATGGAAACTCTACATGAAGTTATTTAACCACAATAAAGCTCTCCATGTCTTTTTTTTTTTTTTTTAATTATTATTATTGTGGGAGAAAATTGTTCTCTCCCCCTTTCTCTTCCAGGAACTGCTTATCCCAACCATTTCGGGCAAAATTCATCCCAGTTTATCCCCCTTGCACAGCAAAGTTGGGATTTTTCGTTTCAACTGAGCAAAGTTTGGTTTTTGTTTCAACTAATTAAAGGCAGCAGGTTAAATCCTCGGAAAGCAGGAAAAAAGGAAAATCCTCAGAAATGAGAAGGAAAGGAAGAATTCTTTTTAAATCCTTGCAAACCAGGAAAAAAAGATTAATATTTTCTAAATCCTCGGAAACCAGGAAAAAAGGAAAATCTTCAGAAACCAGGAAAAAAAGAAGAATATTTTCTAAATCCTCAGAAGCCAGGAAAAAAAGGAAGAATCCCTTTCTAAATCCATAGAAACCAGGAAAAAGGGAAGAGTCTTTTCTAAATCCTCAGAAACCAGGAAAAAAAGAAGAATATTTTCTAAATCCTCAGAAACCAGGAAAAAAAAGGAAGAATCCCTTTCTAAATCCATAGAAACCAGGAAAAAGGGAAGAGTCTTTCCTAAATCCTCAGAAACCAGGGAAAAAATAATCTGCATTTTAAATAATATCTCCATATTCCAGCTGCTTTGGGACATCCCTTTTTTGGGAGACACCTGTTACCAATGGAAGGGGTGAATATTCCAAACTTTGACCAGGAATCTTTATTTGGGAATTATTTAATATTTTATCAGCAACTGTTTTTGCAGAGTTATTATCCAGACAGCAAAGGGGGCTTGGCTTGTTGTTTGTTTTTTTTTTTTAAGTTTCAGTAATAAAGTTTAAAAAAAAAAAAAAACAAAAAAGAGACATTCTCAGCCCATTACAATCCAAATTTTTACGTGGAAAAATTCAATTTAAAGGGAATGCAACTGGAATTTCTAACGTTCCCCAGGAGGAGTTTATAGCCTGATTCACAACGAAGGGGAGACAGCAAAGAAATCTCATTTTTGGACGTGTCCTTTGCCTCCAGAAGTTCTTAAAAACTCAGGAACTTGTGGCTTTAGAGCATTAATTTTGGGATTGTTTCCACTGCAGTGAACTGGCAAATAACAGGAGTTGGACATTGCAAGTCTCTGCTGCTAAAAAAGGTTCCTGGCCTTTCTTTCCTGCGAACAGAACTGATCATAATCTGATTTTTGAGGGGTTGAAATCAGTAAAATAATGTTCATATGGCTCAGCTTCACCAGATTTTGGTTTCCTTCACCTGGTACTGAATAAAATGATTCCAACCATGAGGTGTAATGTTCATTTTAGAAGGGAAAAGGGCAGCATAAAAAAAGGTGAAGTAAAGATAAAAAGGAGGGAAGGGGAAAAAGAAAAAAGGGAGAAAAAAAGAAAAAGGGGGAAAAAGTGAAAAATGAGAGAAATGGGAAAAGGAAAATAAAGGAAAATAATAAAGAAAAATAATAAAGGAAAATAAATAAAGGAAAAATGGAAAATAAAGTAAAAACCTAAAATGAAGTAAAAAATGTAAAAGAAAGTAAAATGAAGGAAAATGAAAAAAAAAGAAAAAAATGAAGGAAAAAGAAGAAATGAAGAAAAATAAAGGAAAATAAAGGAAAATTAAACTAAAATTGTAAAAGAAAGTAAAAATGTAAAAGAAAGTAAAGTGAAGTAAAGTAAAAACATAAAATGAAGTAAAAATATAAATTAAAGTAAAATGAAGAAAAATGAAAAAATTAAGAAAAATAAAATAAAATAAAGTAAAATTAAACTAAAAATGTGAAAGAAAGTAAAAATGTAAAAGAAAGAAAAATGAAGTAAAATAAACACATAAAATAAAGTAAAAGTGATATAAAGTAAAATAAAGGAAAAAAGGAAAAAAGTGAAAAGAAGTAAAAAAAAAGTTGGAAAAATAGTAAAAGTAAAAAACGTAAATAATGCAAAAAAAAGGTAAAAAAATTTTAAAAAACCCATAAAAATATAACAAAAAAATTAAAAAAACCCCCTAAAATAACAAAAAAAAAATAACACGAAAATTATCATTAAAAAATTAAAAAGAACATACCAATATTAGCTAAAAAAAAAGAAATAATGTGAATTTTGAAGCCTTGTCTTACTTGGTCGCTGCAGGGCCCTGAGCTTGGACTGTTTGCTGGCGTGGACCAGGGGCCGGATCTTCAAACAGGGGTAACGTCGGCCCAGGGCTTGAGATGCTGCAAAGAACCACCCAAAAAATCAGAATATGACACAGAACCACCCCAGAAAACATCAAGGTGTTCTTTTGGAAGGGTTTTGATGTTGATAAATGAGTGCCAGGAAAAGCCCAGGAGCTGTTGGGATCCACGTGGGCTGGGTGGGAACATCTCTGACCTCAGGGTGGGGGGCTTGTCCCCAAAAATTGGGCAGTTTTCCCCAGAATTTTGGTGCCACCCCACTCCCTGGGAGGTTCCTGAGTGTTTGGAGGAGTTTTGTCTGGTTACAGGAGGAAAAAAAAAGATGGAAAACCATTAATTTCCAGGAGAGCAGCACAGAAATGTCCTGATTATTTATCTTTTATCCAAGGCAATTAAAAACCTGCTGCTCTGGCAAGGCAGAGTTTCCACACAGCACCACAGCAATTCCAGCTTCCCAAGGCTCCAAATCCTTCCCAGCTGGAAGAGAACAGGAAGGAAAACACCCCAGGAGCTCCAGAGGGTCCCCCAATCCCACCCCCAAATACCTGTGGAAAGGCTGGAGAAGATTCCCAGGGCGTGTGTGTCATCCACCCACTGGATTTTGAAACCACTCTCGCTGAAAGGCAATAAAATATTAATTAATATACAAAAAACTAAACCCACAATAAAACCCAGCAGCCCCCCCTGGAGCTGCCAGGAATATTTAGTAATTTTAATTATTTATTTATTAGTATTTAGTATCTATTGGATTTATTTTTATGGAGGCAGCTGGTGCTTTCCGAAGCATTATCCCCATTTTAAATGAGGGAAGGAAAAGAAGGAAGAGAGCACAATAAAAGTGCCCCTTTCAAGACCACAACACTCCTTTTTTCCTCTTAAAAAATAAAAAATAAACCCTGGTCAAAAATCAACCTCAATTTCAGGGACTGTGTCTTGCAGCACAAAAATATTGTCATTTGTGAAGTGCTTTGCAAACACCCCCCTGACTGCTGAGACACAACAATAACAAGGAAATGATTGATAAAAGTGGTTTTACAAAGCTCGGGGTGAAGAGACTGATGGGAAAATCCAATAAAGCCAGTGGAAAATGGGAGTTTGGGAGCAGGTGACTGCTCGGGTGGGATCCCCCAATTTTCAGCTCAGCTGCACTCCCAGCAAGTGGAAAAACTACAAACAGAATTAAATGTAATTCAGGGGGTTTAATTTAAGGGATCCCCACTGAATGTTCCCATCTAATCCACTCATTATCCCGAAGGAGGAGGAGGATGGGGAGAGAAAACAGGGATAGGGGCCTTTATCTGAGTTCTGAGAGGAACTCAGAGCTGGACTCAACCCCGTTATCACTGAACTTTGTTCTGCTCCTGCCACTGCTCCAACCTCACTCCAGGTATTTGCACAACAAATCTTATCTCCAAGAGCAGGATGGAGCCCTTTTTCCTTGCAAACCCCAAGGGAAGAACCTCACTTCACTCAGGCAGCTCCTAAAATCACCTGGAGCCAGGAGGAGCCTGGATGTCAATAACTGGGTGTGTGACAGAGCCCTGGAGGACCAGCTGGGCTTTAAATTCCGTGTGAGCTGCAGGAAAAGCCCCCTTTGAGGCTCGGAAATGATGTAAGGCACGAAGGGGAAACTAAAACTCAGGGTTAACCCGGTTCTGCTGCAGATTCCGACCTGGATGCCGCTCCCTGAGCTCAGGAGGGTACTCACTGGAAATCTGAGAACATTTCCATCAGATCCTCCGTTTTCAGGGATGAGGGGAAGTCGTAGATCTCGGTGACGTGGCCGAAATCCCCCTCGCTGACCTGGGCCTGGCCGTAGCTGGAGTAGTCCACGCTGATCCTCTCGATGCTGATGTCCTTCACCGTCAGGTTCCCCATGATCTGAGGAGATTCAGGAGGGACAATCACCAAATGGGGTGATTATTAAATAAAATTAAACCCTCAGGGTTTCCCTTCCAAGCACAGCCCTCCCCTCGGCCGCTGCAAACCGGGACATTCCCAGCACAGGGACCCTCCTCCCACGGGACGTTCCCTCCCCTCGGCCACCAGTTTTCCCCCCGAAATTTGCCCTCCCCGCAGCCAAACTCTACCTCTGCCAAGAGCTCTGCACTGCAGTCGTCCTCCAGGCTGCTCTGCTCCTGCCTGCTCCCCCTCTCCTCCTGCAGCTCCCTCCAGGGCACATCGGCCACATCCAAGGGCTCCTTGTCCTCCTCCTCCTCCTCCTCCAGGAGCACCTTCCCACTGTGGCTCTGCCCCGGAGCATCCACCCAGTGCTCCCCCTGCTCCTCAGGAGCTGGTGGGTCACCACCAACACCCAGCTCAGGTGCATCCAGAGGCTCACTCTGAGCTTCCAGGGGGTTCTGCTCCGCACTCGGGCGCTCCCCATCTTGGCTTTCCGGCGTGGAGGAATTCCCGGAGACCTTGCCCTGCTCTGCAGGTGCTGGCAGGTTCCTGCTGCTCTCCAGGCTCTTGGCAGCAGCACTGCTCTTATCTTGGTTTTCCAGCACCACAGCTGGGTCTGGACAGGAGCTGCCACCACGGCTTTCCAGCAGGGAGGTTTTCCCGCCCTCCAACGCTCCGGCATTCCCGCTGGTTTGGTCTCCATCCCGCAGGAATTCGCTGCCTTCTGCTACAGCAGTGTTGTCACGGCTCAGACCTTGCTCTTCTGCCTTGGGAGGTGGGGGTTTACTGTGCCCAGAACAAAGGGAATCACAACAGTCTTTATCCCGACTTTCCTGCTCGGAGGAATCGTTGCTATTCCCTAAGGATGTACCGCACGGAGGAGGCTCAGCGTGGGGGTCAGCGTCAGTTTTTCCCGAAAAACTTCCTTCAC